GCTATGTGCAACATATCTTACAGCAAGGAGGTAAAATTTTAAAAAAGGTTAAGAAAGAGAAAAAAAACAAAAACTTGTGTGAATCCAAAGTCTATAAACAGGTTCACAAGAGCAAGTCATGCAAACAACCTGCAAAGTGGATTTGAAAAATTTTGCTTATCTCTACTAAATGCGTAAATACAGAATTGATTGGAAAACCTTAGCACATGCAGCTCTTCCTTTGCATTATTTGCTAGTCACATTTTCTATAAATTCAAAAGAGTTGCTGCCAAGCACTTTCAACTGCTTAAGACTGCATATTCACTTTCCTGTGTGTGTTAAGCGTTTTGCTTCACATGAAAATAAAGAAGTAAAAGCTTTTTAACCACAGAAGCTCTCACACCTACTGTATATAATTTTTTTTAGACCGGAGCAATTTCTGTAAAAACGTTGTCATTACTTTAGATAAACATTTTTGTTAACATAATTTATGTCTGTTTGTCACTTTTTTTCCACCAACTTGACTTTTTTGAGTAAGTCATAATCAACAAAATAACTTGGGATTGGCATGAGGGTGGAGGAGAAGGGAGGAAGTGGGACCCAAAGGTCTGTGTAGGGGGCGAGGCAAAGGTGGTGGGAATGGAGGGGAGTATGGGAGAACATGCAAAGCAAATTAAGCATAAGGGTCTATTCACGAAGCAGCCGAAGGATCTAGCCGTAGCTTCGGCCGATCCTTCATCTAGCTTCGGCCCCAGGACCCCTTCGGTTAAGTAGAACCGAAGTCTCCCGCTCCCGGCCGGCCAGGAGAGAAATACTGCTTTTTCTTTTCTTTTTTTTTATTCTGACACGGAGCTGTTGGCTGGCGTCAGAATAAAAATAAAATAAATAGTAATGCATTGCTAGATTCAATTTGCAATAGCCAATAGCAAGCTAGCATTGCACCCGCCCTCTGATGCAGTTCTCCATCAGGTCCGCACTACTGATTGACGGCAGCAGAGGGCGGGTACAATAGCTAATTTGCTATTGGCTATTGCAAATTGAAATAACCAATAGGAATCTAGCAATACATTCCTATGGCCAACATTTTTATAAAAACATTTTTGACGTCAGCAGAACCGACGGCCAATAGAAAACTGTTAAGCGAATCTAGCTATCATTGCTAGCTCCGCACAATCGTTTTCTATTTTTATTTTTCTACTTTTTTAACAATTTTTCTGTTTTGCTTGGTCCCACAGTGAGACTGAGCAGAACAGCTGAGCCCAATGCCGCTCAGCGGCATTCGGCTATTCACTCACTGCTGTTCGGCATCTATAAGAATAGACCGAACTGCAGCGAGTAGCCTGTCGGAGGCATTAATTAAGCGAGGAGTGATGCTGCTTTGCAAGTATATTGCTTTTTAGAGAGGGGGTAAGGGGAAAAAGAATTGGCAAGTGGTTGTCTAAAAGATGGTCATCTGTGATATCTCCCATGAGTTGACCTATGGAAACCCAATAGGTTTACATTTTTGGGTATTCCCACTATATGTGTAGGAGCATGCCACATTGAGCACAGTCCCTCTAGAAGTCATCAGAAATAGCTAAGGAGATGCGGTCTAGCTTAGTCGGGACCCAACACCATCTAAAATCTATTTAAAACAGGATTCCTGTGTGCATGTGGCAAGGGACAAAATGTGTCAGGTGAAGGATCCTTTGGGGGCCTGTATAAATAAGACCCAATTCTGATTCTTATTCCTTAAAAAGTATAATCCCTCCTTCAGTTGCCTGCGTAAGCCCAGTTTGATGAAGTTTTTAAAGTCGTATCGGAAGATATTGGAGAATTAGTGGAATATGTCGAGGGAGAGCTAATTACCGAAGGATTAATAGAGTTTGAAGCACAGCAGCACTAGGAGGAGGAAGAAGAAAAGGAAAGAATGGAATAAGTAGCAAAGAAGTTCATTGTAAAGGGATTAGCTGGTGTGTTCTCACAAGTGAATGCGGCTATGTTAGAACTAGACGGTATGCATCCGAATGTCTGTGAAGGTTCTTATTCATCCAGGTCATGTTATATCTGTAAAAAATAAGTCAAGGCAACTGGACTTGCTGTATTTTTCTTGAAGACGTTTCACTGGTCATCCAACCAGCTTTCTCAATTCAGAATGACTTGTACAAAATATTCTCTAGGAATATGGATCCGAATGTTAAATGGTTTACAAAAGTGGAACGGAAAATGAGTGAACTTTTACAATGCTATCATGAAATTTATGAAGAAAAAAAAAGACAAAGCAGACCACACTAATGGGATTATTCTCGACAGCTACACCCAGGACCCCCCTACCCCTATCAGTACTTCCATTTCAACTCTTTCATCTCCCTTACCCGGGCCTTCTACAGCTCCTGATAATAACTCCTGTGATGACACTGACGATGACTTTGAAGGATTTGATGACTACAATGTTAGCCTGAATATCTTTTTTTTTGTACATCTTCTTTATCCTGTACAGTACTGTAATTTTTGCTGAGTGTACTGTACAGTACTGTAGCTTTATGTTCTGTAATACATTGCAGTACTATACAAAGTTATGCAAATAAAAACAAATTCATCAAGTTGAAGTTTCTTTTTAACCTTTTTATTCAGAATATTTTAATGTACATACAATACAGTACAGTTCCTCGCTTAACGACCAATTCGTTTAACAACCTAGTCATGGGAACAGAACTCGGTCATTACATAAGGAATAGCTGTATAGCTCTTGCGTTTCCCCCCGTGGGATGAAAATGCTAACATTTTAATCTGCACAGATTCCGTTTGTTGGCGGCTATTATATAGCTGCAAATTTGCGGAATCCGCCATATTATCTCGCTTGTACTATTTTGCAGGCCGCGCGGTTTCGTACATTAAAGTGCATTGTTTTTTCTATTTAGAGCAGACAAACGCTCCTGTGTGAATGGAGTCTTAAGGTAATGTGTCTTTTTTCAATCAAATTGTACCCAAACAGTCCACCTGGAAATATTAGAGGCCAACTTTGACAAGATTTTGTTGAACAATAAAAGCACTGATTTGGTGGTGAAATTAAATCTCAAAGTTCTCAAAATGTCATTCTACACGCAAGATGGTGTCCTTTATATCTATAGTTCAATGCTTAAAATCATACTTTAGCAATAATCACACTAAGAATATACTATTAAATGTGCTTCTTACATTTATGTAACAATCTTTGTATGACAATCTGGGAGAGAAGAATGAGATTAAAATGTCCAGGCTCTGGGGATGTGGCTCCCGATTCCCTATCTACATCCACCTTCATCCAAGGTTTAAATACCATCTCTCCTAACCACCTATAATGCCTGGGAAGAAGAGGAACTCACAGCACCCACAGCGCATGCCTAAACTGAAGCAGGGCCCAATGGATTCTTTTCTCATGGATCAGAAGGAGGATGGTCATGCCGCATCCAACATGGCAGCAGAGGATATGCCGCGCTTAGACCCGCAGCAAGGTATGCAAGCCTCTACCTCTTTTCTGAAGAGGGTAGGTCTCAGATTACGCTGCATGTGGGGGGATGATGAGGATGAGGCAGACTAGGACCTCAAGGCGTACATCAAAGCATTCCCCACTAAAGCTGATCATGAACAGTTTGTCTCCCGTAGAAAGAGAACGAACACGCAGAAGAGCGAACACTTCTGCAGTCGGACACCGCCCAACTGGGCCAGATGGTCGAAGTGTTTAAAGCAAAGTACAAGGAAGCCCTGGACACAATGGATATGGGACAAGGTCCGCAGGCAAGACAGTAAGATAGAGGCACTATTGAACTAACAAGATGATTTATGAAAACAGGTGTTGACGCTATAATATCCACATCCATGGTCTGCCCGAGTGGTCCAGTCCACAAGAGCTTCTTCCTACGCTCACAGGTGCGGGCAGAAGTGTTACTTCACACATAGAAATTGACTGTGCAATCAGGATCCCAACAATCCCTGCAATGCCATATGGAAGCTGCATGAATAAGGATACTATTATGCAGAAGATGCGGACCCAAGCTCATGTGGATCTTGATGGGTATAAGATTTTGCTGTATCTGGACTTGTCCAGATGTACTTTGATGATGTGCAGGTCCCTAGGCCGCTGTTGAATTTTCTAAATGCAGCAGGAGACCCATGCCATTGGGGATTCCCTTTTAGCTTAATGGCCAAGAAGAATGCAAAGTCGACCATTCTACAAAAGAAAAGACTTGCCTCGTTTTGTACAACAACTGAACCTACCACTTGTGGGTCTTCTGGAGTTGGCAGGCTGAAGAGGAAGTTCTGATGCCTTCAAAAACCACACCCTGGCACACTGTGGCACCAGACAAGGAGTTGGGACTGTGGACCACCTTTCTCAAAGTTCTACTGCCCCCTGTGGCAGAGATCTGCCCTCTTCTAGATCTTCACTGGAGTGAGTCTGTAAGTTCACCTCTTCCTCCAGCCTGCCTGCGTAGACTAGCTGTTCTCAGTTGGCCTGCTAATTTTTCGTTTTTGGTTTTAGTTGTATCAAACTTCATCTGTACTTTGTTTTGTATACCCACCTGTGATTCCAAGTTCTCAAATTCTTCCATGTTCCCCTTCCCTGTTCATCCTATGCCTCTTATATTTTTGCTTTCATGCTGATACACAATGGATGGATATCCCTCCCACCACCTGTTTATGTATTGTCAAACAAAGAAATGCACTTTTATGCAGACATTGATCTGAACGAGATTTTTCCTCACGCACACAGGTTAAGTGTTGTCTTGGAATTCACTATTCAGTCTTTGTTATTCTCTTTGTGATTTTATACAGTATATAGTTATACTCTGTGAGATTTCTATTGTGTAAATAAATAAATAAATAAATATCCAGGCTCTGACATTTCTTTTTATTTACAGTATGCTATCTTGTACAGGACACAGTTATGAGATATAACATTCATAACTTTATCATTGTAACTTTATTTTATAGACCTATGTATTTGCCATTTTATTTGAAATGCAATTAATTTCCCTTTTTTTTTTTCCAGATTTTATTAAGGCATGGTCAATTTTAACATGCCAGATGCAGCTGGCCATTTGCCCTTCTACTATGGTAGCATATCCCGGGCTGATGCAGAAGAGTTCCTTAAGCTGGCTGGAATGATGGATGGCCTTTTCTTGCTCAGGCAGTGTCTGCGAACTCTTGGTGGCTATGTCCTCTCTGTGGTCTTTAATTTACAGTTTTACCATTATCCTGTGGAGCGGCAGCTAAATAGCACTTATGCTATATTTGGAGGAAAGTCTCATTGCGGGCCAGCTGAACTTTGCGAATACTACTCTAAAGATACAGATGGTTTGTGCTGTGTCCTCCGACGACCTTGCAATCGGCCATGTGGGGTGGAATGCAAGGCTGGAGTTTTTGATCACATTCGAGATAACATGATGAGAGAATATGTGAGACGAGCTTGGAATCTAGATGTGAGTAAGCAAGGATTTTTGTATCGCACACAAAATATATTAGGGAACTCAATATGGTACATTACTTCTATTTATCATGCTTCTAAAGTTCTACTTTGTATATGTCATCTGTATTTTATTAGTTTTATATATTTTTCTGTCAATAGCACCTGGATGAATCAGTATGCCTGCACAATATTGGCCCATCATTAATTTCTAAATTCTGTGCTAAAATAGCATGTACAGATATTAATTAGAAGAGTACAACTAGAAATCACAGGGCCCCATAGCAAAATTTTGTATGGGGCCCCGTGATTGCTAGTTATGCCACTTGCAGAGTCGACCTGATATACCAAACAGCCCACCTGAGAGTGACCCTGCAGAGCCCACCATAGACTCTCTATAGTGGGCTCTGCAGGGTCTCAGATGGGCTGCACACCTCTTACCTGTCAGCGGTGTCCGCCTCCGTGGTCGCCGGGCACCACCTCCTCTTCCATCCCCCGCCTCCTCTTACATCACTGGCCCCACCTGCTCTTAGGTCGCTGGCCAGTGATGTAAGAGGAGGCGAGTTGCTCTTAGGCGGGCCCCGCCTCCTCCTTCACTGCGAACACTGGCCTCTTCTGCCGTAGCTGCTGGCTGTCACTGACACAGCTCCGCAGCAGCTGTGAGGGGAAACGCCGCTGCTGAGCTGTGTCAGTGACAGCCAGCACCCTTACATGCTATAGCGACCCAGACTGCCTACACGCATCAGAGGGATGCCCTGGCTGAGCCCCCCTGTGCTCGGGCCCCATAGCGGCCGCTTGGGACGCTATGGCCATTGTTACGGCACTGAGTACAACGTAGCATGCACTCCTGGAAGATTTCATGTCCATATTAAAACATATGCCAATCTAATGCCAATAGATTAACAAAATAACTCAAATTTGATTTTGATGTCCTTAGTTTAGGACATCAAAACAGGTTGTAGAGAATACTCAAACATTTCTGTGTGTCCACTATTTTGTTGTATAATTTTCCTTTGGATCAACTGTTTGATATGTTTAGGTAAACTTGATATATGCTTTCAAATTTTTTTTACACGTTTACTTGTTTTCACACAGTCACACAGGATTCATACATTTGCCAATTAGATCTAATGCAAAACTGTGAATCTTGCGTTAAAGCTGTGTGAATCTTCAGTGAAAAAGTGAAGAAAATAGACTACTATGCATTGTATAGGTTAGAAGGGTGTTGTTTGTAGCAAGGGGCCTAATTCATCAACCCGTGAAAGCAGTTTAGGCATACAAAGTGGCATCTCAAGCAAAATTACTAAATATTATAATATGAGAGGCTGCTTTAGCACACCTTAAGTGATATCACAGTTTCGTGACCAATGCCCTGTTTAAAAGTGGATATGGTATGAGATACAGCCTGAGTTAGAGCCAGGATAGTGTTCTATCATTACAGTTCTCTTTTATGATTTTGGAGCTTTTAGTAACAGGGATCATTTAAATACTTGTTCCAATTGAAAGTACAATCTGCTTTTGATGGGCAAGAGTTCTACTTTTCGTCATTTTCTTTGCTGCATTTTCTTTTTTAAAGTCATGTGAGAGAGCAGCTTAATGTCTGCCTGCATTTGATCATTAGCTTGCACTTGGTGGTGCATTGAGCCAATTCACTGAGATGAGCAATTGTTTTTTTTAGTGCTTTGAGCCATCACCACATGTGTTTTTATTGTGTCATTGCGAGCCCATGTGATCCAGTGCACTCCGAAGGTGTGCAAAAACCAAAAAAACAGGGATGTTGTTTGCTAAAAAATGTCACATGATAAGCCTGTGGCAATAAATGTCCCTGTCTTTTGCATAACTCTGGTGTGCTGATGTCACTTTTGCCATTTCATTTTATTGTGTCATTGGTGCACCTTCCCTTCATAGTAGAAAGTTCAGATGAGACTGATTGATTAGCGCACTCCCTGGGTTGTGTAGCGAATGGTTGCCAGTGCGCTGCTCCTATACTGATTGGACCGGGGTGTGCAATTGTAAGACTGAACAGGAAAAAGAAGAGGGCAGGAGAGCCACAGTCTGGTGCCAGGTGTGTGGATGGGGAGTGATGAGTAAATGAGGATGTGTATATCAGGGGCGGATCCAGAGTCTATTCTCGGGAGGGGCACTGCCAGAAAATTAAGTAGATCCCTGGATCCAGACAAGCCCAGCCTCCTGTCTCCCACGCTGTCAGAAACTGCATACAGCGTGTGCTGGTTACTACTTAAACCGGCGCGCTGTGTGCAGCTTCTGAGAAGAAACGCTATTAGCATAGCGGGGAAGGCGGCTGCGCATTTTGCATCGCTCCCGCTACGATAATATCGTATCTTCTCAGAAGCTGCACACAGCGCGGCGGTTTAAGTAGTAACCAGCACACGCTGTATGCAGTTTCTGACAGCATGGGAGATGGGAGGCTGCACTTGTCGGTGGATCCAGGCATCAGGTGAGTATTAAAAAACAAAAATGTTTTATTTTATGTTCCTGGGGACATGTAGGGCTCATTCACACTGGAATCGGCCGACACGTACAGCTCCGTGCTGTGTACACAGCCGCATCGGGCAGCTCCCGGGAAGGACAGGTGCTGCGTATGATTAGTATGCAGCCCCTGTCCTTCTCTATGGGTGTATGCAGCCGTACACCCCCCTACGCTCACCCGCCCAGCACGTCCGTACGGGTGCATGTATCCTTGCTCGGACGCAGACAGGATCCATCCTGTCAGCATACGGGTACGCTCACCCGCACCGATGTACAGGACGGGTGAGCGCAGGGCGGCGTACGGCCGCGTAGTCCCATAGAGAAGAAT